TGAAGCTGTTCCGTGAAAGCGTACATATCGTGAACTTTTTCCTGGGAAAGGGACATGGGAACCACCGAGCTGCTTCTTGGGTTAATTTTAAATTTAAGTGAACAGGTGGAGGCTCTCAGCAACGATCTTGTCGACAACGATTTTCTCTGTACTGTACTGTACTGTACTGTTTAATGCAATTTTTTTTATCCCGTAGGGTTCTCTCCCCATGTTATGGGGGTTTTTCTAAAAAAATATCTGTGTGCAAATAATTTTTTCTGGTCTCTTGATTTTTGTCGTGGACAGAATCCGTGCGAGACTTTGATTTAAAGTTCTTCATTTCAATGCACATCGTTCGCGGAGGTGCGGTATTGACGATTGAAATGTGCGTTTTTGGTTCTCCCTTTACTTTGGGGTTTATTGCGGCGAATAGCGAAGAGATTGACTGACAATCCGTCTTAGATTCCCTGAAAAAAATTTCAAGGAGGGCCTGAAGCTTCATCTTGAAATCGTTTTCGTTGTACTGTATGCCGTTCTGTATATTCGCGTGAATACTTTATTTGTGTGTTGAATACCCGTATTTACTCGAGTACCACCCGCACCCTTGAAAAAAATAAAAGGGGTGAAAAATAAGGTGCCGTCATATTCGGGTACAAGTTTTCTAGTAAATTTTTCGAAACTTACCATTTTGTTCCCCGCTTCAGAATTTTTCTTCTAAGGCCTCTTAAATAACTCTTTGTATCGCATAAGACTAAAACGTTAACGCTGAGGTCAAGTCTTAAGATTGCTTTCACAGTACGTACAGTACTTAGATTTTTACCCCTTGTAGCTTCGAAAATTTGCATTTTGAGAACTGAAAAATAAGGCGCGCGTCTTACGCAGAGATGGATTTTTTTCTTACATGTGAGCTAAAAAAAAATAAAAGAACTGAGGTGCGCGTGGTACTCGAGTAAATACGGCGATTCCGAGTCTTGCTACAAGGTTTAGTTTTGCGCAAAATAACAGAGTTCATATTCTAGCGCAACTCAGCTGACTTACAGTGATTGATGATGCTCGCCCCACGTGCGAAAAGCGACGATGCAAATGTTTGGCTCAAAGCAACATCGTCAGCTTCACTTTCTAAGCGCGTCTGGGATCTGTTCCCGACGAAATATTTTGAAGAACGCTTTTGAATTCGGAGAAAGTGATGGATGCGCCAGCGCTCGAATGTGCCCCACAC